TGGTTGGACTAGGCCAACTCCCCCCACAAGCTAATTCCCTCATTCCACTGGAAGTCATCCTTCCTTAACCACCTACTTCAGCCACAAGCTCTCCATCCTGCTTTTCCTCCTTCCCATCCCCATAATTTAACTACCTCTGGACAAGGGATTTTCACAGCTCCACCTGTGTTTTCGGTCAAGACTAAAGAATTAAATCAGGGTTTGGGTTGTGCTCAAGCGGCGGTTTTCCCATCTAACCGAGTTAGAGGGGGTGGATTTCGGCACAGAACCCGCAGGTCTCACAAGACAAGGGATGAAGGGAAGAGTCAGACAAACCAGGAGGAGCACAGGGCAACCTTAACCGCTGGACACACAGAGAAATCCTCGTGGTGCTCCCTGGGGAGGGACCTGCCGCTCCGACGTCAACAGCGGGATCCAAGGAGCCTGCGGGGTGGATAGGACTGGAGAGCAGAGGGGGAGAGAGAGTTTGGGAGAAGGAGAGAATCAAACAGAATTAGCTGTAGGGTTCAGCAGAGCAGCTGGAGAGTCAGAAATGCAGAAGAATCCAGTCAGTGCCACTCAGCACAGGCGTCCTCTGCTCACGGGGGGGACAGTAGGACGCTCCAGCCGAGCCCAGCTCCAGGTCCCACCACATCCCCCTCTCCTCTGCCCTCTCAGCCTCCAGACCCCGGTGCTCAGCAGTGAATCTGCTCACAGATGCTCCACACAGGCTGTTCAGCAGCCCTGCTATCTGCAGGACACACACATGGAACCCCAGCAGCAACACCAGCGTCCTTTGCCACACGGGAAAGGCTCTGGGAGGAGAGATCCCACCCGGGGGGAGCAGCAGCTGCTCCTTTAAGGGGTTTGGTTCGAGGGATTCAAACAGCAAAGGCCTCCAGCAAGAGGGTTATGACAACTCAGCAGCCCCTGCTCTGCTCTGGCACAGGGTGTGGCCCCCCCTGTGCACCCACTCGTGCCCAGCCCTCTACCCCCTCCACTTCCCCTGGGCAGGAGGTTTGCAAAGAAAAGAGGAAGCAGCAGGGGAGAGATGTCACCGACTTCCTCCCAAACAAGGCCCTCGGAGCACTCACTGCAGGGTTTGTTGCTGCAGAAGCAAAAAACACCCCGAGAATTCCCAGAATGGGGTGGGAGGGACCTTAAAGCTCATCCAGTGCCATCCCCTGCCACGGGCAGGGACATCTTCCACCAGCCCAGGTTGCTCCAACCTGGCCTGGGACACTCCAGTCACCCGTCCAGATGAGCAGCTTTGCTTCCAGGTATCCCTGGAAGTGCCGAGAGGGACCATCTGGAGCCAGCAAATCCCACTCAGCACAACTTTCCCTACTGAGAAAGGGAATTTAAGACATTTCTATCAGAAAAAGTGTTCTCCTCACCCTGCACAGGTCCACTTGGGGACTCATTTCCACCTCCAAAGGTGAAGCTGGCTGTTATTCCAGGAGGAACATTCCTGCCACCACTGCTCCCCAGGGCCACACTCACCACAACCACCCAAACCACCCCAAAAGATGCTCCTGAGTGGCAGGAACTACCCAGAGCTCCTGGCAGAGACATACACACACCCTCCAGGAGAGGATTTCCCACCTCCAGGAAGCTCATTAGTGCAGTGGCTAATTATGGGATCAGATCACTCAGTGGATAACTATCGGATCAGATAACTGGGGACAACCCCAGCCTGCTCTCCAGGACTGATGCAATCCCTCTTCCCAGCCAGGAGCTGCTTCCAGCTTTGCTGGCAGGGCTGAACTCTGAACCTTGACTTAACTGGGGGGGGGGGGGAATTTGTCCCCCCTTTTTGGGGCTGTCACTGTCTCGTGCCTCAGAAGAGGAGATAAAGAAGCTATTTTTGCCCCCAGCGCTGGCTGGAGGTGCCAAGAGATAAAGGACTGGGACGTGAGGGGAACATCTGCCCTCTGCCACCCCAGGTGTGGAGCAGGAAAAGCCTCTCCAAGACAAAACAGGCTCTTGGGATGAGGTTACTGCGGGGTCTGGGGGTTTTAAGAGCAGGGCTGAAAGCAAATCCCAGCATTACAACTTTTCCACGTTGCTCAGAGGTGCCCTGCAGTTTTTAGGGGTCACGCTGAGGTGACCAAGTCTCCCGTTTGCAGATGGATTTAAAGGCAGTCCCTCCTCCAAGTTCATTTCCAACAGCTTTGGGAAAAAAAAAAAAAAAACAAAAAGGCTCAAGTCCAGATCTCCAAGTGATTAAAATGGCTCATTAAAACAGGATTTTAGGCAACCTTAACTCTCTTGCTACGGGAAAACAAGCCTTTCCCAGCAGTAAGTGCAGAATCTGCATCACCGGGGGATAAGCAAATAATTTCATTCCCTTGTTTTGTCTCCTGGAATTCGAACATTTAGATACCAGTTCCTCTCTTACCCCCTCCCACTCCTTTCTCAGACAGGTCAGGATCACAAGAGGCCTTGAAATCACAGAAACATGGGATGGTTTGGGTTAGAAGGGACCTTAAAGCTCATCCAGTTCCTCCCCCAAGGCAGGGACACCTTCCACTATCCCAGGTTGCTCCAACCTGGCCTTGGACACTTCCAGGGATGGGGCAGCCACAGCTTTTCTGGGAAATCCATTCCAGGGCCTGTCCACCCTGCCAGGGGAGAATCCAGTGGAAAAGGAAGCAGAGGACAAGCCCCTGGCATTCCTGCAGCAGTCCATCATTCCAGGGTGATGCTACAGCTCCTTTTTCCTCACCTAGAATCCCTTTGAACCCCAGTGGGGTCAGGACCAGCCCCGGGTGACAGGATGTGACTCCCCAGCTGGAATTCCCT